TTTCAGCAGCATGGTGCAATGGGGTTTTATCAAACTACACCAATAGTCACGTGATAAAACCACGTGCGAGAGATTCAACACACACAACGTACGTTGCCTTTTGACGTCGATGGCCGCGTCTTTCTCAAGCAAGAGGCGGACGATCTCCAAATGACCACAGCGAGCAGCCTCGTGCAATGGTGTAAAACCACTCTACACCAATAAACACGTGATAAGAACCTCGTGCGAGAGATTCAACACACACAACGTACGATGGCTTTGACGTCGATGGCCGCGCCCTTCTCCAGCAAAAGGCGGACGATCTCCAAGTAACCACAGCGAGCAGCATCGTGCAATGGAGTCCGACCATGCTACGCCAATGTACATATCAATCTCCATGGATCATCGATGGAGGAAGAGCCGACGTACGTGGAAGCAGTTGACGTTGACGCCGTTGTCGAGATAGGATTGGACGTCCGCCAACTTGCCGTCTTCTGCAGCCTTGCGAAGCGCTTCCTACATCGTCGCATATGCGTCCTTGAGCCTCCAGATCGATGGACGTCCCGTACCTCCTTCTCCTTCGACGTCATGGAGAAGGAGGAGGACTCCTCCTCCTTCTCCTGCATCTTGGTCCAAAAAAACATTTTGCAAACTGACGTCACTTCTCTCATTGGCTGCGCTTTTTATCCAATCACATATCTCGGTACCCAACCTTACGATCTGCAGATAAAAATGTGCTTCCTTGCTCGTATGCATCTCGAGCTCTCATGACTCTCACGACACCATCTTCTTCTCGGTCTCTTTCGGCTCATTAACTGACTTTCCATATTTGCCTTCCACGCATAAAATGTTGTGGACCGGTAGAATACTACAGTAAGGATAGACAACTTGTTCCATCCCATCGACGACCTCGATGCATATGACATGTTGTACATCGTATTAACACGTGTAAGAAAAGTCGTATTGAAAAGAAGAAGAGGTATCAGTAGACTAGACGCGAACGACTGCATCGAGCGCCTTTACATACCGAAAGTGCGCCTCCACCTTGGTCGCGAGCGCCTTGGCTGGCGCCGTCAACGCTGGCACTTGCATCGCCGACGCCAAGAGCGTGTCCAACAGCGCCATCGGCAGCCACGAGGCTTGCATCGATGAACGAGTACTGCCAAACGAGTCGATCGTCAATGGCTCGGTCGCAGGCACAAGCGCATTGGCCGTCGAGAGTGCATCGTCCAGCGCACCGTACTTGAGCAGAAGCGAGAGCAGCTGCGGCCCGTCGGTCGCCACCACAATACTGTCGCGGAGCCACGTTGGGATCGCCACGCGCAGCTCGAGCGCCGTCTCGATGGCCGCCAGCGACAACGACGCCGAGTGCATGTGCTGGAGCGTCGTTGCCAGCACCGATTCGGGAATTGAACCGGCGACCCACGCAC